CATCATCATCACCTTCATCATCATCCTGGAGGCTGAGTTACAGTCAGCTGAGAACTGTGGATGTTTCTGCAGCTTGATAACATGAACCAACAGCAGCAGGAGACGTTCAAGTCAGAACTCGATGCAGCTCTGAAGCATCAGTCAGAGTAAATGACAGCAATGTTTTACTAAAAGCTGCTTTTCTGTGACTCCCAGTAAGAACCTAAACTCCACCAGTAACGATGGGCTCATTCAAGATGAAAACACCACACATGGATGGAAAACAACCACGAAGCAACAAAAGATGATTAGAGAGACTCAAAACCACCACAGAGAGAGAACAGCAATGTGACGGATACCTCACTGTGATGGAGGACTTATTAACCACCACAAACAGATGCAAAATCACCACAAGGAGACTAAATATGACCACAAAGAGACTTAAAACAACCACACAGTGAGACAAAACCACAACAATATTACACAGTAGGTTTCGCTGTCTGTCTGAACTTCTACAAGTTCCTACAAATGTTCTACAAATGCAGGATGTGCAGGTAGTTCTAGTGAAACAACAGACCCCGCTCAGCTTCACGGCTCTACCGTTCCAGTTAGTAAATCCACACCAGACTAAGAAGTAAACAGCAACACACTCTGTGTCTGTGCTGTGTGTACCTTGCAGGATTGTGAGTCTTGATGAGCAGGTTCTTCTGGATCAGAGTGCTGACGGAGGTCCAGGCTGTGTACTTACTGCCCAGGTCAGGCTGCAGACGCACAAGATGAAGAGACCACTCAGGAATAAATGTAGGTTCATGTAGCAGAGGGTGAATCCATCTCACATCATCAGAGGCTCCCGCTCAACCTGCTCTGACTCACTTCAAACCTTTCACCAGAAACTAGAGGATACATAAAGGTAAAACTTCTCTAAAATCTTCATAAATATCCACATTGATGACACAGTCAGATGAATGAAGCTGCTCTAAAGATCTGATGATCTCAGACGGAACAATGAAGCAGAGATGAATGTGGAAACTCACCACAGTAAAAGATTTGTCACACAGAGGCTGAGCTTCTGCTTGTAGCTCCAGCTTAAACATGAAACCTTTGCTGTCCGGGATCTGAAGAGAGACGACAACAAGGACACACACAGGTTTAGATACGTGGAAGTAAAAAACTCACCACACAGAGACACAAAGAGACAGAAAAGGACAACAGAGACGTAAAACAACCACCAGGACACACGCTGGACCACAAAGAGATGAAAACGAGCTCAATGAAAGACAAAACCGCCACAAACACATAAACAGAGAGCCTCAAATCGATGAGAACAGCCACAGACTGCAGCAGCTCCAGAGCAGAACCTCGTACCTGTGACTGTCGGTACAGCGTGAGCAGAACAGCGTGGCCTCCAGACCTCTTCTGAGGAACGTACTCTCTCCTCTTCTTCTTCCCGTCTGGTGCTCTGTCCTTCCCTCCATCACCTGCTGAGTTCTTCTACACAAAAATTTAAAAAAAAAATCACACACAAGAACATGACCAGCTCATACATGTTACCTCCCTCATGTCGTAAAATAAGCTTTTATATCCAGAATATTCACTCTTTCATTCAAAGATAAGCACAACTGTAGAGAAATTATAAAATTTTTTTTACAAAAAACTGTTTCTGTTTTTATTTTTTTAAACCTTAAGCTGGTCTCTGTGTGTCGAAGCTGCACACGGACGAGTTTTTAATCAGCATTAAGACAACAATCAATCTGCTTTTGATCTGCTTGGTGATTTAAAAATCACAAAGTTCTTCATTGGGCAGCAAAATAAAACAGGAAATACATCAAATCATCAGGACATGAAACAAAACATGATATATGAAAAGCAACACAGTGTTAGAAAACGTTAATATTTAGGGAATAAAAGACAGCTTCAAGCAAATTAAAGAGACTTGGACTCCTCAGGACCAGCTGGAGTTTCAGTGTTTTGCTCAAAGACACTTCAACAGGTGAAGCATCCTGGAATCAAACCAGCGAACCTGAGCTCAGCGGACAAACTGTGGCGTTTACCTTCCTGGACGGTGCCACGCTGTTGTTGTCTGCTCTGCCTGCAGGAGGCGCTGCACTGGAGACGGACTGGATCTGAGCGTCTGCACCTGGAACAGAACCAGACGGGGAGGATCAGTCTGCAGAACATCAGCTGACCTCCTCAGAGTCTCCTGATTCTGTATCTGCAGGAACTTCAGGAGGCTCTGAGCGACTTCTCATCAAACAAGATTGTGTGTTATTTTATTTTCGATTGATTTAACTGGGGGCTGCAGGGTGGCGCAGTTGTTAGTAATGTTGCCTCGCAGCAACAAGGTTGCTGGTTCGCATCCCGGTGAGGACACGTGGAGTCTCCATGTTCTCCCCGTGCAGCGTGGGTTCTCTCCGGGTTCTCCGGCTTCCTCCCACAGTCCAGAAACATGCTGAGGTTAATTGGTGATTGTAAATTGTCCGTAGGTGTGAATGTGAGTGTGCTTGGTTGTCTGTCTCTAAGTGTAGCCCTGTGATAGACTGGTTACCTGTCCAGGTGAACCTGCCTTCACCCTGAGTCAGCGGGGATAGGCTCCGCCCCCCATGACCCTGGTGAGGATTAAGCGGTGTATAGAAAATGGATGGATAGATAATTGATGGATGGATGATTTAACTGGTTGCTGCTCTGACGTGAACTTTACGCGATGCTTTCACTCTGTTGCAGAGCAGCAGTCTGTCTCATCTTACTTCTGTTCCTTCATGCAGCTCGTTCCTAATTCTAACACGTACGACACATACAAATATTTCCACGTTTCATCTCTAACATGCAGCCAACAGCTGTTTCTGATATTCTACCTGTAACGTGGGCACTCAGAAACAGTTCACCTCTTCATCAGGCTCTCTGTTGCGTCTCTTTAGTTTTTGTCTCATGTTTTATTTAAGCTACAGTGACCCTGTAACTTTCCTCAGCCTTGACTTAACACCTGATCATCTGTTTCTTACCGTTCTCTTGATGGTAACGCTGCAGTTTCTCATCCAGGATTTTACAGATGCCGTCTCCAAAGTTCTGCAGGATCTTTGCCTCTTTGGCGTTTCGCAGTGGCAGTGGGTATTTATTCAGAGAGCTGAGTGCCTGCAAAAGACAAGAACACACACATGAAGACAAGTGATCAATGTCTGATGATTTCTGACACATTTTTCTTCAGACTGACATTTTAAAACTCATGAGTTGCACTTAAAGGTTTCATCATGTGTTTGCATTAAACACACGAGCAAAAAACGTCAGCGCAGGATTCAGAAGAAGAAAGAAACTGTTCGGTCAGTCGGTATCAATTTAAACAGAGTTTATAAAAATATTCCACATGAAAAATTTAATCTGACAAAGGTTCCCTCCAGAACCTCCTCAGAACATCTGGTTCTGTATCTGCAGAACCTCTATCCACTGACCAGAGTTCTACCTTCAGACTGTGAATGTTCCAGAGCTCCAGGTCCTTGAAGTCCACAGAGGAGGGTCCAGATTGATCACCTTAATGGACTTTTTCCATCATTTCATATCAGTCTGTTGTTGCCAGTGTTCTCTGCTGTAGTCTGCTGGGGAGGCAGCATCAGAGCCGGCGACACCAACAGACTGAACAAACTGATCAGGAAGGCTGGCTCCGGTACCGGCTGCAAACCGGACACCATGGAAGTGGTGGTGGAGAGGAGGTCTCTGAACAAGCTGGTATCTATTCTGGATCAGCCCGACCAACCTCTCCACCCCCTTCTGGACAGGCAGCGGAGCTCCTTCTCAAACAGACTGATTCAGCTCCGCTGTACAAGGACCGGTACCGGAACCCAGAGCAGTAACCCTGAACAACACAGAGCGTTCTCAGCTCTCTGCTCTGTCAAACCCTCTGTCTTTGCACTGTTTGTTCAATTTGCACATTTTTTACAGTTGTTTTATTTATTTTATTCACTTATTTTTATTTTTAATTTTTTTAAATAGTATTTAACTTGTTGTGATTGGTGTTTTTCTCTTGCTGCTGCTGTACCACAGTAATTTCCCAGACTGGGATAAATAAAGTATTTTTCTATTCTATTCTATTTCTGAGCCTCAGAACTTCATCAGTACAGCAGATAGACACATGACATTTAGGAGGAAGAACACATCTGGGTTCTGCTAGAACCTGACACCAGATCAGTTCTACATCCATCCAGGTGTCTCAGTCTGAACACTGGATCTGGTTTTATTTATTTTATTCAGGACCAGTTTCCCTTTAATCAACTTTGAGCATCAACACCAGATTATCATGTCTGTAAACAGCCTCAAACCGAACCTACAGATTCTTTCTGACTTCACAGTTTCTGTGTAACGGAACCACAGCTTCCTCCCACCGCTCCGGGTCGGTACCTTCTGGTAGGTGTACTGGGTCTTCAGTCCTTTCTCTCTCGCCTCGTCCCGGAGTTCAGTGAGCCACCGGAGGAACAGTGGGTTCGGGCAGGCGGGCAGAACTCGTTTCCGACCCAACCGAACGGGCTCCGAAGCGGGCATCCCTCTGTGTGTGACCGGGAGAGGAGACAGGTAGACAGACGGAGGAACAGCAGCTTCACCGCTAAGAGACACGGTTAGCTAACATGAGCTAACGTTAGCACAAGCTAACGAGCAGCTAGCTGTGGATGAACGTTTATCACAACTAAACACGGAGGTCAGAACTAACACACTAACAGAACCAACACACTAACAGAACCGACACACAGCTGCGGCGGACAGCTCACTAGAAATAAACTTTTATTTTTCTGCGTGTTTGTGGAAATAAACGCGGCTCACCTTCTACCTGTTGATTAGCAGCAGCTGCTGGCGCCTTCCGTTCAAAGACACGGAGCGCTTCCTTGTTGACATCAGTCACGTGATGCGCAGAAGACGAAGAAGGCGGAGCAAAGCGCCAAAACACGGACAGCGACACCCAGCGGCCACGTGAGCCACTACAGGCCTGAACCGTGAACTGCAACACCTGGAAACTATGGATTTACTTCATTGTTTTTATTTTTATGTGTGTAAAAATATACTTAGAGTTTCTATACGCTTATTCTCCACACTCAGAAAGATTTTTGGGAAAGTTGTCATTTATTTGGAGTTATGAAAACGTCTATTGAAATTATAGGCAGGCAACATATTCCACTGAGGTGAGGAATTCAGCCTTTCATCTGCAGTTGTAGTTATTTTTAACTACTTCACAAGTGGCAGCATAAAGGCAAGTCTAAAACAACTCAATCTAAATGCCAGATGAACATAAAAAATGAGATTAACAGCAGCGTTCATGTGCAGCTGCTCTGTCGTGTTCAGGTGCTTCACAACTTGATTTTTTTTCCAAGATGGAAGGTGTGAATAACCCCATGATCCAGTCAGGCTTGCAGACCGTTATCCTCCTCCACGTGTCCTCAGGCTGAAGCAGTCTGCTGGAATCCTCCAACAAGACCCGACAGAGGCCAGGAATCCGGCCTCACCCTCCAGCAGCCGCCGCTGTCTTTGGTAAACACACAGACAGCAGCTCCACAAAAAGGTGGAGCAGTTAGAGAAGAACAGCAGCAGACTCAGAGGAACGCTGCGTGGAGCGGAGCATTAAAACAGGATCCGTGTGGTGACATTAAGCCGGCCTGATTGTTTCTCAACTGCTGTAGTTTCCAGTGTCTGTTTGGGAACGTTCAGGAAAGTCAGATCAGCCTCATGGGGTGCTAAACGCCAACATGAAGCAGCTTGTAGCTCTGCACATCCAGAACCAACATCTAGAACTAATGTCCAGAACCGGTGGACTCCAGGTTCTGGTTCCTACTAATGATCCACATCTACATTTAGTTTAAGCATCTAAAAACCAGAACCTTGTCTGGTCCAACTTCACCACATCAGGTTCTGCTGATGTTAGAGCCTCAGACGGTGGAGAACCATGGATCCATCCAGAGACAGACACTGACAGGAACTTTCTGAGGAACCAGTTACACCGTTTGAGTCACTTTAAGCAAATCTTGAGTAACTCTGGGCACATTCTGAGCAGCTTTAAACAGTTTCAGGTCATTTCTGGACTGATTTTAAGTGATTTTGTAGAATTTTGAGCCATTTCAGACACATTTCAAGTCATTTCAGACAGTAACGGGACATTTTGGGGCAATTTGGAGCGATTTTAAACTGCTTTAAAGTCTAAACATCTAAAACCAGAACCTTGTCTGGTCCAACTTCACCACATCAGGTTCTACTGATGTTAGAGCCTCAACAGTTGGAGAAATAAGACCAGAGACTGGGTTCTAGTAGAACCATGGATCCATCCAGAGACAGACACTGACAGGAACTTTCTGGATCAGTACATCACCATCCTGATCTGCTGAAGGCTGTTCTGTCTGAATCAACACATCATGGCTGTAGGAGTTTTATTTCTGGAGATACTGAACCTTTAAAATCGCTTCACTGTTTGTCTTTGAAGGTGAAAATACAAAAAATCTGAAAACATCTGAAATTCTCTACATTCAACCACATTTTTATTTGTTTTGTATAAAGAACTTAGTTTTGGGTCTCAGATAACAAACGAGTCACGTAAATCTGTGTAACGCTGCCGTCTGAACCGACTGCGGTGAGTCTGCATCTCCAGTGTGGCACAAAGAAATCATTCTCCTGTAATATATTACTCCCTTTAATGAATAAAGTATTTTCCATAAAAAAACTCATCTTTTCGACTGTACAGAGGAGCCCACAGGTCGTATTCACATGCAACACAAAGGAGGAAAAACACAGTCCCATGTAGAAAAACACATATGAGCCAAACATAAGACCATCTGAGTCACCAGCGACGTCCTCGTCGTGAGTTTGCTGGATGTTGGAGGAACCGGAGGCTGAACCGGTCCATGCAGTCACATCAGGTGTGTTTCTGCTCATCAGTGTCTGGATGAGTCACACCGGGTCTTTGCTAGTTCACGATTTCATTGTTTTATAGAGTCGATGCCCAAATCCAAACACATCCATAAATATATACACATATACAGTTCAGCTGCTCTACAGTCTGCTGCGACACCGCGCTCATCGTCCTTCATCCCCTGAGTTTATCCTGAAGCTCCTCCAGCCTCCCGCCGTCCTACTGCCCGGCTGATCCGGTGGTGTCGTCGCTGTCGGCTCCCTGTGGAGAACCCGGCGTGGATCCTCCCACCGAGCCTCCTCCCGGCCCTCCTCCCCTCCGGGCAGCCTTCCCCTTCAGCAGAGGGCTGTCGGGGTGAAGCTGGTGCAGGTGGATGAGCAGCTCGTCCTGAGTTCCGGCTGTGTGGCCGCACTCCTCGCAGACGTACAGCTTGTTGCGTCGCTCTTTGTAGGCGTACTTCAGGGTGACGCTGTGGATCTTCTTCATGTGAGACTCCAGGGAGCAGCGCTGGGTGAAGGCCTTCTCACACAGGGTGCACTTGTAGGGACGGACGCCTGGACGGAGAAACAACATCGTCAGCCTTCCTGAACCGTGGCCGGCACTACTCGACTGTTTGGACAAAAACTGACAAC